TTGCACCCATTATCAACAGAATACTTACAGTGAAAATTACAAAGATCGGGTCACTATAACCTATAGCCCCCCCATACAACTGATTGTTCAGATATAAAATTTTTCGTTATAACTCCTCCATTTATTCGCTAGGAACATGAAATTCCGCACTGTTTTCAATAATTATCAACAGAAAACTTACAGTGAAAATTAAAAAGATCGGGTAACTATAACCTATAGCTCCCATACAACTGATTGTTCAGATATGAGATTTTTCGTTATAATTCATCCATTTATGTAGCTAGGACCATGAAATTTCGCGCTGTTTTCACTCATTATCAACAAAAGACTTACAGTGAAAATAACAAAGATCGGGTCACTATAACCTGCAGACCCCATACAACTGATTGTTCAGATATGAGGTCTTTTATCATAACTCCTCCATTTATGCAGCTAGGAACATGAAATTTCGCACCACTTTCACTCATTATTTACAGATAGTTACAGTGAAAATAACAAGGATCGGATGACTACAACATATATCTTCCATACATCTGATTGTTCGGATATGGGATTTTACGGTAAAACTCCTTTATTTGAACAGCTAAAACCGATAAATTTCGTAAGATATTTTATAAATAATAATACAAAGTCTACTGAGAAAATCATCAAAATCTATGCTGTATAAGCTTTATCTCCTATAGCACTGATTGTTCAAATACCAGTTTTTGCCATATATCTCCTTTATGTAGGAAACTAAACCCAATAAATTGTGTTACCGGTTTACATACCGATCACATAGCAGTGAAAATCACTTAGATTTGTGACATATAAAGTATATCTTCCATACCTCTGATTGTTTAGATGCGATTTTTTATATAAGTATGTAACTCCTCTATCGATGTATGCAGATGTATTCAAAAGCAGTAATCTGTCAAAGTAAAATTTGCAGATGTTCATGAAAGGTATGAAGCCTTCGGCATAGCCGAAGACAGCGCTGCTCTTACTTGTTTTAATGGTGTTTTTGTGTCGAAAGAGTATTTCACGTGATTTCGAAATTATATGAGAATCATTAGTACTGTTAAAGAGGGCTTCGATGGCTGATTTACTGTCCGTGCATATGAGGAAATTTCCTTCGTTTTTAGAGGCGAAACGTACAGCTTCTAGCAATTGTAAATGCCGAGCAGTACGCGGAAAAAACACCGACGACAATTGTAACACCAAGCCCTTTTGTTACCGCAAAATAACAGCCGGTATCATATCTGGAACCGACTGTGAAAATAAGCTCCCAGGTCATTTATGAGTAGATAAGATAAAAATATGCGCGAAAAATCCCGTTATATGCGCTAAAAATAATCACAAAAATCAGCGAAATATGCTCAATAAAAAAAATATGCACAATAAAATTCCTTTATTTTGATTAAAAGAAAGACAATGTTATTTACTGTTACAGAACAGATGCATTTACTTCAGTGTCAGTCTTACAATACCTTTCGCATTAAGCCTCTGATTTTAGTTACTAACTAATTTAAAGCGTGAGCAAAAAAAATTTAAACAATAAAAGTGAATATACTACAAATTGTGTATTACAAAAAACAAAACGAAAAAGCTAAAAATTCATTCAGTGTATTGCACACTTGTTAAGTACACAAGTACTATGTACATATTAGGCATATGACTGTTTCTAAAAATAAATATATGTACATATTAGAGGAGGATGAGAAAAGCTGGAAAACCCACAAAAACAACGTTTATATAAAAATTTGGTACACAAATTTCACTCAGGGAGCTCCGAGAAAAAAGAAATTTTTACTGAAAAAAACTTACATGCATATGTATGTACATATGTATACGTGAAAAATTCCATGTGAATTATGACTGCGATCAAAAATTGGTTTCTAAATTTTTATTTTATTTTTTTAGGTTGACTTAGATTTCGAACTTTTGAATCCGAATCTTAACAACAATGTTAGTCTAATAAAGTGCATGCTTCAAGAGGCTAAAAAATTTAATGGATTGTTAAAGACTTTTTTGCTGCGGGATTTTTGTACTTTTTTTCATATAAACATGAATTTAATTTGAAGTAAAAGACCGTTCGCAAAGAAATTTCAAAAAATCAACGCCAGATTTTATAAAATGCACTCGTTATATAAAAAAAAAAACACTTAAAAACCAACGCGATTTTTAGCCCCTTTAAACTTGCACTTTATTATACTAACACTTTTTGGGCTACAAAACTGCACACCCAAAAATGTCCTAAGATTCAGATTCAAAAGTTCGAAATTTTTGTGAAAATTTCTTGAATTTATCTAAAGTTTGTATTAAGTTTGAAAAATTGATTTATAAGTTTTGGTTAAAGCATGAAAAATATTGTTTTAAAAAAGATTTTAACTTGAAAAACATTATGGATATTAAAAAAAATCGACATGTGAACACTTGACACTGTATATACAATTTATGGAATTTTCGTAAGTGGTACTGAAAAAGACATATATGTATACGAAAATTCCAAGTCAACCTAACAAAAGAAAATAAAAATTTAGAAACCAATTTTTGAGCGCAGTCATAATTCAGTCGACATGGAATTTTCCAATATATGTATGTATTTATGCTTATCAAAACACAATCTTTACATGTCCTCTTTAACATCATTTTGGTTATTGCAGTATACAATCATGTGTTGTTTTAAATTGTCAAGAGTAAATTTCCTCAGTAAGAATCAAAGAGTATGCTGAGAAGCTACGCCCTACATCGCATGATGTTACAGGACAGTATTTGAAATTTGCCAACTCACTTGGAGTAAGTTTAGTTACATATTCAGAAGAAAGTTTCTTGCTCGTGAACAACAACTTTTCAATGACTTGTATATCTTTAAATCCTACATTACGTGCAAAAACAGCTTCAAATTTGTTTAAAAATGCTTTGATGACTTCTTCAGATTTTTCACTTCCTTGAGGCTGTTTTTCAAACACAATCCTTTGGTCTCTAGGGTGGTTATGGAGCGATGAATTACAGCAAAATTTGATTTTATAAAGGCTAAGTCACTAACAATTGTATCACTTGCAAGCAAATTTTTAGCGATGCGAATCGATTCGCTGTCCTCATCACTCAAGCTCTCTACCAAGGATTTTATTTCAAAAAAGTTCTCGTTGTAATATTCGGCTGCCTTCAACTATGTGCCCCAACGTATTGTTGATGGCATTGGTGGTAATGGTAGTTGAGGATACGTTGTTTTAAATTTCTTTCGGCGAGATGGCTCCTAAGAAAGGTGTTAAGAAGTTATTGTAAATATCACCATTGACATGTAAAGATTTTACCTTTAAGAAAATTTATTTTATGCACGATATAAGCTTATTGACGTCTTCGTATTCGCTACGAATAAATTCGCAAACACGGAGAAGGCCATGTGTGAAACATGATATAAGAAGCATCTTGTAAAACAAAGTCTTCAAAGATCTCATTGCAGCAACCATATATGGCGCCGCAACCAGAACGTGGTCGTATTCAACTCCTGCAATGAAAAAAGGATTTACAATATAAGAACGTGTTAAAATACATAAATAAAAAAAGCAAACCTTCAGGCCACAATATAATTAAGGAGTCGTTAACGAACGCTGCAATATTGGTGGCGTTTGCTGCATCTACTTCGCACACATTCAGTAAATATTATTTATCTTTTTCCTCCACGTCGTCCACATCCAGTATACCAAATATAAAATTTGCTATCAGTCGTTGTTCCGTATCTGTAGTCTCGTCAATGGAAATCCAAATGTTTTTATTGCGAGCCTTTTTGCACATCATTTCCATGCATTCGCCATATAACAACGGCACATATCTTTGACGAAGTGTACTTTCAGATGGAATGATCTGATTTGTATAATTTTGCAAAAACTGAACCAGATGAGGATCAGATATTTTTTTAAGTGGAATGTTCGATTTTAAAAACATTTTACACAAGTCCATAGAAAAGGGATGTGGAGATTTTTCTGTGCATTCCTTTAATAAAACCTGTTGCGGAGCTGCTCTACCTAGCCGAGCTTGTGATTGTTTTTGATGTCGCGCAGTAGAAAAATGCGTGTTACTTGGAAGGTCCTAGGCGCGTTTAGGTTTCTATCACAGCTTTTACAAAACAAAACACTACCGTCGCTACGTAGTTCGTCTTTGTGCTCATTTGCCATTCTCGTAAGGAATGCATGGAAATTTTCTTTGCCCTTTTGCATTTTATTTAACAAAGAAATCAAACAATTTTGGAAACAGCTGCGCGCGCAGATTTGACAAGTGCATGACTTTAGATATTTTGTGTATGCGAAAGAGAGACGACTGTATGAATACCATATTGAAAAATTTGGCAGGATGTAAAGTGCTGCAGGATTTTTTATGTTAAAATTAAAATATATGTAAGGGATGCATTTATATAAACTTAAAAAACACTAACAAAAGATTTTTAAATAATCTTTTAACAAAAAATATGCCGAAACTATGCTTGTTAGTTAAAATATGCGCTATAACTTTAAATATGCTTTCACATCCAAAAATGGCAAAAATATGCAAAAATATGCTTTTTATGCAAATCCATATTTTTATCTTCTCTATTTATGAGTATAGAACTAGGCGAATGCCCTTGCGGTAGAGTTTTTACTTTAGTAGTTATCGGAGTAGATAGGAGTTTAAATCTTTGATGTAGCTTAATATACGAAATAAAGCTGATTTCTTGCTTCATCGGTTTTTTTGTTGAAAGCAGGATTCGACGTGAGAGAATAAGGCCCTTATTATGAGTTGCATTCGATTTTCGATCTTCGCTGGTTATCGAAGATCGAAGATCGAATGTAAAATTGGTATTATGAGCTATGTAACTCTGTCGAAATTTTCGTTGAGTATCGAATTTTCAGTCGAACAGAATTTTGCTTTCGATGCTGTAGCGTAGTGTGAGAAAATTGTTGAAAATGTAAGTATTTTGCGTTTGTTTTTTATTTTTTAGCGTCTAAACGCTAGTTTTAAACAATTTGTATTAATTTCATGCAGGTCGTGAGTACTAAACAGCAACTCGAAAGGCTGGTTTCATTGATGGAAGAAAATCCTCAACTTGCGAAAGGGATTTGTACGAAGCTTCAGGCGGCAAAAAAGTGGGAAGATATTGCGCTGGAGCTCAATTGTTTAGGACCACCAATTAGAACGACAGCAAAGTGGATTAAGGTGAATTAAAGTAATTTTTCATTGTATAAGAAAATTTCAGCTTTGTGTTTTCAGGTGTGGGCTGACATGAAATCGAAGACCAAAAAGAAAATGTCACAAAATAAGGCTGAATACCGAGCAACAGGTGGAGGACCGAACAGGCTTCAATCGCATACAAATATTGAGGAGGCCATAATTGGATTACTCGAGCTTGATGCCTGTGTGAATCCACCAGGAGCGGAATTCGGCCTAGATATAAGTAATAATCTGCGCCTAGATTCGCCTGAGCCGGCTCCAGCAGATGAAAACCAGCCACCATTCGATTTGGAAACGAGCAATGAAGACCGAAACTATGTAGTTGGCGAAAATACAACACGAACCCCCAGAAAAAAACAGTGCCACAAAACGGAGAGACTGAGGTTGTTGGAAGCCCAGACAAATGCCCAGAAGGCTTTTTATGAAAACGTAATTTCGAACATAAATGAAATTAAAAAAAGTGCTAGGGAAACTGAAAAATATGCAAAAAGAACGTACTACTTAAAAAAGACTCAACCAAAGAACTCTTACAAATGAAAAAAGAAAAATTAGAAATTTATAAAAGTGAAGTTATGAGAAAGCAGCAAGATCGGAAAGCAAAACTGCAACTAAAGGTTGCACTTTTAGAAATGGAGAAAAAAATGTTGCCTAAACCATAACTTATAATTATATTTTTAGCGAATGCATTCAAGTGTTAATTTTTTAGTAGTATTAAGAAGGCTTTATTAATCTTTAAGTAATATATGTAAGTGAATTAATGATATTTTTTGCCTGTGATATGAATTGAGAAAGGCTGTAAAAACTTTTATGTAGATTTTTCAAAACCATGAATTTATGTGATTTTTTATTCAATTTTTAATGTGCATATGTACCTTCATATCTTAAACCAATAATATTTATGAATTTACTAAAAGAGACTGGAATACCTTTATTAATACTTTTTCAGTTATTTACAAGGTTCTTAAAATTTCATTTCTGATGTGTTCTGCTTCTGAATTCTCAATTGATTCCATCTCAACGACTCCGGCATCATCGTCGTGAAGCTCATTTGAAAACTCTTCTCCGTCGGGTATTTCTACATTATAGAATTGACAAATGTTGTGCAAAGCTGCGCACACATTTATTATTTGTGTAGCTTTCTTTGGAGTGTAATGAAGAGCTCTCGCCTGCAATAAACATCTGAATCTATTTTTTAAAACTCCGATTGTTCGCTCTATAATATTTCTGGCTTTTGCATGTTGTTTGTTGTATGTTCTTTGAGGAGATCCTTCCTCAGAATTTCTGAACGGCGTCATCAAGTATGGTTTTAGAGCATCACCTAACGTGGATAAAAATAATTTAAAAAAAGGAAATAAATGTAGGTTTTGTA